GTAAGAAACACCTGGTATGAAATTTCAAACCAAATTGACAAAACAGTTTCTAATTTCAAATTTAGAGTCGTCTAACTTACCTCGTGGATGAAGTTAGTTTTTAGTTACATATCTTACCATGTGGTAAACATCTTCAATTTTGCCTTAACATAATTTGAACTCAACTTTTTGAGACAAAAACCTTTTGAAAACCACCAAAATGAACTTTTTTATCATTATAAATAAAAAAAGTGATACAAGATTATTCACTTTATTGGCGAATTTACTTTCTCCTTAACCTCAAATTCGAACACCTTGAAGTGTATGGATATGCACTGTATCAGACTCACCGATAGTTGACTTCTCTGTTGTCACCAGAGTCTTTATCCTCTGCCACAATTCTCGTCACATAAGCGCCAGACAGTGACCCCAAAGATAGATTAGCTCTGAACGGAACCATCGTGAAGACCGGAGCATTGTCGTTAATGTCAGTGACGTCCACAACAACTTGGACTTTCTCTGAGCGGGGTCCAAAACTGCCCCCGTCTGTCGCACAGACTTGGAAGATGTACTGTGATTCCTTCTCAAAGTCAAAGAGTCTGAATGGGGATGAAACAGAATACTTCCTTCAGAAAAATGTGTAGGTTGCCGTAACTTGTACACTTCACTATAAATCAGAACAATGGGCTAATGAAGCGCAAGGATGTCAGGTGTACGTATGGGGCAAAAAGGTTTACACACACCTGGTAGAACAAAAGCAGTTTGAGAAACAATTTGTCTGACCTCATGAAGTAAAAGTTGGCCAAACTATTGCAAACAGCAAAGAATTGAGGAAAACTGTTTTTCTACCAAGTGCATGAAAATGTTTGACTCCACATGTACATGTATCCTTTGCACACTGTGCTACAATGTAAAATATACAGCAGCCAGATCTGTGGGGTGTCATGTATATGTGTATACTTCTGATTTGAGTATTTATTTGTCTGTCTGTTTTAATGTCCTATCTTATTGTTTTACTATAACTGTTCATGTTTTTATTTGGATTTTGCTGCTGTTTAGCCAAATGGCTACAAATGCATTTTCATTAATAAAGCAGTAATAACAGCCAGTACTATGCAACCCTGAACAGATCAACAAGTCAGGGTACTGGTATGAACCAAAGGGTACAAATGCTTGAATGCTGTGCAGATGGTTGTGTGAAGGGCAAAGAAGCTTGCCTCAAGCAGGAGCTCTGAACTGCATAAGGTACTGATTCACAAGGGATAAGTGCAAGATTTAGCAACTGGATATCTAAATGCCTATGAAATCAATACGATTCTTGACGCAATGAAATGATTATCAGATGAAGAGGTCGCTTCAGTTTCATTCACTTCCATCTTACAGCAGCAATATCAAGGTGCACAGGACAAAACGACTTAAAACACCAGATGCCTAGAATGGATGACAGGATATCTCACCCAGTTGTAGTGAGCTGGCCACTGTTGACGTCAATACCAAACAGGCCCAGCGTGGAATTATCTAGTGAATACTGAACCATCGCATTGGTCCCTTCATCTGCATCCACAGCTTCGACTGTCATCAACGACACCCCAATTCCAGTGTTCTCAGCCAACTCATAGTGATACGATGGCATCGTGAAAACAGGGTCATTGTCATTTTCATCCAGGACATTGACAGTGATGACAGTGTCCCCAGACTGAGAAGGGACACCATTGTCAGTGGCACGGATGGTCAGGTTGTACTGGGGTGTCACCTCACGGTCAAGAGGGCCTGTAGTAGACAGCTGACCGGTTACTGAGTTAAGTTCAAACAGGCCACCTATGTTACCATCTGAAAAGTTAAACCATAAAACACACATTAAGCTTCACACAGGATCAGAGTAAATAAGTTTACAATCATATTTGACAGCACACTTCTATAGTAAGGTCGGTATTCTGAAAAACATTGCAGTCTCACCGCGGATGGAGTACGTCAGGTTGCTGTTGTCACCAATATCTTTATCTTCAGCTACAACGACATGGACAGCACTTGCTGGCTCGTTTTCAGGGACACTAAGCTCATAATGACTGGTTGCAAAGCCTGGAGCATGATCGTTAGAATCTTGAACATAGACAATCACTGATGCCACATCGTAGCGAACCGGGAAGCCACCATTTCGGGCATACACTAAAACAGAAATCAGTCAGATTATGAGATTAGTTACTCTCATCACAGATCAAACAAACAAACAAGCACAGAATAATGTGTGATTAAATTAAATGTGCTTCATAAGACCTATCCCTTTTTAATTTCAAGAAGGAGTACTAGCATAAATATAATGAAGTTTAACTTTGAGTCTTACTGTCTGAGAACACAATGTATGAGTGTATAGGGATGCCAGTTTCACCAGCAATATTCATGGCTTGAAGCGGAGACTACACTCACCTGTTACACTGTAGGAGTCCTTAGCCTCTCTATCCAGCTCACCGTCTGTCACAATGACTCCAGTTGAAGCATCCACTGTGAACTTATTGTCTGCAATGCCAGTGGGAATCTCAAAGGTGATGTCTCCGTTTGTACCTGCAAAGAGACAAGTAATGCTGATCAACTACTGAAATGAGACAACAAAATTCAAAACAGGGACACCCAGAGACGGTCAGGCTGCGTTCTACCAGGAAATATCTTGGTTCACTGCATTCTTGAGTTAGTTTCCAGCCCAGTCTACAATGCACTAGCCACAACAAAGAAGGATCAAAAATTGCCTACCAGCAAATTGAATGCAACTTCTATCACATTTTGGGTGAATTTTGAGGGGAAAAAAAGGACACTCATAAGATTACTCATTGGATTTGTATTTCAATTTATGCATCTGTATGGAGATTGCCAGAACATTCAAAGACTGCGATGTAACAGACAGGAGACTAACCATTTTTAAATCAGTGACTTTTTGAGCTCAGTTTGATGACTAATTTGTGTTTTTGATAATAACATATCAGTAATCACTGCAGTTATACTTAATAATTTCTTGCACACATTAGAAAGACAGGGTTTACCTTTGTAAGAAATGAAATTACTGGCATTCAAAAAAACATTGAAAGACAAGTCTTCCCCACGGATTATAATCTTTGTTTCTTCATTACAAAATTTCACTAATCCTCTTCCATCTTCCATTTTACAATTTCCCATTCTACCTACCTGTGTCCCCGTCCTGTGCTGTGACTGTGCCCACATATGTACCCCTGACAACACCCTCACGCACCTCCATGACATAAGAGGAGGGGTCGAAGTGGGGAGGTAGGTCATTGACATCCCCTACATTGATCTCCAGAGTCTGCCAGCTGGTCAGGGGTGGTAGTCCATGGTCTGTGGCTGTGATATTGAGGGTGTAGAGTGTCTCATGCTCACGGTCAAGAGGATGAGCGACGGACAGTAAACCTGTGAATAATACAAGAAATCGTCAATTGTGTCCAATGATTCAGGCAGCATGAGATGAGTGCTAAAAACTAATGTGAATGGTAAGGGACACTAAGATGATACCACCACAGTCACAAGCAAGAAATAATGCTTGGGTGATCTCCTAAGGTTGTATGAATGAACCTCAAACCAAAGATTGTGTAGCGCTGCTACCCGATGCAAGATGGAGAAGTCGGCCCAAAAGGTGTTATCACCATGGGCGCTATTTAAGTGTGAACGTTAAGCAGGCATAGTGTGTGTGGCTCCTGCACCTGAGCATTATCATGCACTGCGCAGGAGCAGTCCAACCCGAATGGCCCCCATGCGATAACAACATTTTACGTGCATTCACGGTGAAGTCCCACATCTCGTGCTGCTGCGCGGCGCTATACCTTTGCTCAAAACTAAGCAATATGAAAATAAGTACCTGTGATGGATTCAATTGCAAATCTTCCTTCCTCGTTCCCAGATTTGATCTCGTAGACTAAGCGTGAGTTCTCCCCAACATCTGCGTCGCTGGCATGGACATGAAGGATGGGGTACCCTACTGGTTCATCCTCATTAATATGTGTGAAGTCGCGAGACTCAAAGACAGGGGCGTTGTCATTTCTGTCCTCCACTAAGATACTGACCGTAACTGTGCTTGATCTGCGATCTGACAAAATGGCAGCCTGATCCGTAGCTTGAACGACAAACAAGAACCGGGAGTCAGACTCGCGGTCAATCTCAGCTGTCGTGGTCAGAGCGCCGGTTATCTCATCGATGGAGAACATTGGCTGTGGTGTTTGAATACTATAGCGGATGTCGCTGTTTGTCCCCGAGTCAGCATCAGTTGCAAGGAAGGTCCGAACTAAGTGACCGATAGCAACATTCTCACTGAGAGTGAACTGAATCGGGTCAGTGGCAAAGACAGGGGCATTGTCGTTCATGTCCAAGACGTTGATGTTTACTGTAACCCTTGTTGTCTGTGGATGTAAAGGCCCATTGTCTTCCAGAAAGACCGTAAGTTGATAGTGGCTGCTCAACTCAAAATCCACCACCCTGGTGTTGATGATAACTCCACTCGTTCGGTTGATCCCAAACAAGGCATAATCATTACCATCAATGATGCTGTAGAATATCTTCCCATTGTCTCCTGCATCTGGATCATGCGCTCTCACTTGACCAACTGTTGACCCTGGCTCATGATTCTCCTCGATCGTGAATGTGTATGCAGCTCTCTCAGCGACAGGCACATTATCATTGATGTCTTGGATGTGAACCACAACATCAATAATTGACTGCAGGGGTGGGGTGCCATTATCTCGCGCAATGACAGAGATCATGTACAGCTGGTTTCGTTCTCTATCGAGGGTACTCTTGGTAGTGATTAAGCCCGTGGTGGAATCCAGATCAAAATGATCACCTCCTGAAAGTGGAGATAATGAGAACATTGCAGTAACATGTATTTCACAAAGGTTAACTCATATTGTACAAAGGTCACCTCATAACATGAGACAAGGAAGACACTTATATCATTGTGAATACCAGCAATAAAACTACTCAGCTTGATATCGGACAACTTTCTCTTGAATGAGACTTCACCCCTTGACGACGGGAATTTCTTCCCGAAAGCGAACTCCAAGAATTTCAGCTTCGCTTGGCCACGAAGGCCACCTGCCAAACCGCAGATTCTTGGTTTGTGGCCCTGCGTGCTCTACACGCTTTGAATTACACAGTGAAAAGGCTGATTGTTTGGTGGCATGTGGCTCTACTCAAGCTTCCACATTCCTGTTGCCTCTTTTCGAAGTGGGGACTATTGTGAAGCTGGTGATTATGATGCAAATTCAGTCTTTTTATTTCTGGGCTATGCACAAAGACCAATTACCATATATACAAGAGCCAGGGTCTGCCTTCTTTCACCGTGTTCGCTCGAGTGTGGGCCAAGAATAATAGCAGAAAAGTGGGCTGAGGATCTCAATTTTTACGATGGCTCTATCCGCGTCCCAGCGCGAAGGGGTTAATTCCTTGAATTCATCCTGCCCGCCACAAAATATGGAATTGTTTGCAAGACCTGTTCTCAACATTTTCAATTTGAATGTACATGTAGGCCTCTGCTTAAGGGAAACGACAAATATTATTCTACAAACACTTTACTTGGACTGTACTGTACATGTACAACTTTTGATTTGCCTATTTCCAGCCAAATTTGTGAGTAACATCACTTTGTAAATTTGACGCTTGCCTCACAGCACAGACGCTAGCATTTAAGAGTTCAGAACAGACTTACCACTCTCAAATGAATAAGTAATTGTTCCGTTCTCGCCACTGTCTGGATCAAATGCAATCACTTTAGCTACAAACTCTCCTGGCGTCTGTTCTTCCATGATGGATGCATCATATTGGCTGCGGTGTAAGAATGTGGGTCTGTTGTCATTCAAGTCATTCACGCTGACGTGTACACTTGTAACAGCCGTGTTGGGTGGCTGTCCGTGATCTGTGGCTGTGACTGTCATATCATAGCTGGCTGTCCTCTCACGATCTAGACTTTGCGTTGTGGTTATAACTCCTGTCGATAAAGACAAGGAAAAAAGCTCATGCTCATGATACAAGACATTTTAACACAAAGACTCTTTTTGAAGCACCTCTTCCGACATTTGCAGTGCTTTTGGTTAGTGTGTTCAACACCTCTATGCAGTTTGTCACGGATGTCTCAAAATTGTGTCATACATGATCATCAAGATCTGTAATTCTATCACACAAAAACTGTTAACAATTTTCAGTCACAGAACTTTTACAGAAAAATGGAGTCAAGACATCTTCAGTAATGTGTGATCTGCATAACTGGTAACATATTCAATACTGCAAACCAAGGTGACTTCAGTATATTTTCTTCAAGCTTTCATGCGATTTCATTCCTGTTTAAGTAACTTTAAAGTATTTGTACCTGTTGAGGGATTAATCCCAAAGGCACTGCTCCCCTCCAGTGTGTATGTAATCTGAGCATTTATCCCAGAATCCCGATCCTCAGCGACAACTTGTCCAGCTTCTGTGTTGGCATCCATGTTCTCGTCCAAGTTTAGGTAGTACGTTGTCTGTGCAAACTGGGGGGAATTGTCGTTCATGTCAGTGACAAGCAGGCGCACTACAGCTGAACTGTTCTGAGGAGGGCTTCCGTTGTCTGAAGCGATGACGTCAAGGATGAACTCTGACCTCAATTCGTAGTCCAAGCGTTGCCGAGTGTATACCCATCCATCGTCAGGGAAGATGGCAAAGTACGTTGCATCTACGCTTGGCCTGAGCGTGTACGTGATGCGTGCGTTGATACCCTGGTCCTGGTCTGTTGCCATGACTTGTACAACCCGTGTGCTGATGGGTGTTGCCTCGGAAACGTCCATCTGGTAGGTAGCAGGGTTGAATTGTGGGCCATTATCATTCACATCTTGCACCAACACGTTGAGCGTCAGGTTAGTTTTCAAAGATGGGCTCCCACGATCGAAGGCTTGGACGATGACCTCATAGGAGCTCTGATCATTATAGCTTATTTCGTCCTCAAGAACTACTTGTCCCATGACTCGGTGGACAGAAAATTTGTTGTCTGGATTCTGGACGAGTTTATACCGCACTAATCCAAAATCCCCACTATCCCGATCTGTTGCCATAGCAACAAAGACAATACTACCAACTGCTGTGCTCTCTGGCACCACCACAACCTCCCTGTTTTTAGGGAACTGTGGAGTGTTGTCATTCTCATCAATGATGGTGACATTGACATTGGTGAGTCCGTAGAGAGGAGGGTTACCACTTGCAGCCTGAATGGTCAGGATCAGGTAAGGGTAGAGCTCATAGTCTGGAGGAGAATTGATGGACAACTCAGCAGTGGCTGGATTTAAGCTGAAATATCCTTGCGGATCTCCAGAGTAAATGGAGTAAGAAATCACTGCCAAGTTAGCTGTTGGAGAAAAAGGCAGTAAGAAGACCAGATTACTCATCTGGTCCACAATTTAAAGCGGATCTTTAGCTTTCAGGACTCATTAAACAACTTTCAAAACAAATTTGATAAATGTTTTATCCAAACTAGCCGGGAACATCTAGCCGCAAAATAATCTTTTCCAGCCAAAATCAACACAAATCATTAAAGAAGAAAAGCAAAGTAGGTTTACACTCAAAGTCTAATAAAATTCTTAAATACAAATTTTTCTCTTGCTTGTAACTTTTCCACTTACTTGGATCTACATTTCGTGCATGGACTGAACCAAGAATGTGGAACCGTTGTGCATTCTCCCTCACGGTGAAACTATAATGTGACTGGTTGAACATCGGGGGCGAATCGTCGGGACCCACAACACTGATACTAATCTGGGCATTATCTAAGGAAGACTGGCCCCCACCATCCACGGCAGAAACTTCCAGGAAATGCAAGGACTGCTGCTGACGACTCAGGGTACCAATCAGTGTTATAACACCTAATGGTGAAAGAAACAGAAAACCAGTGATAGTTTAGAGCATTGAAACAAACACCCAGGAAAAGATAAGATTGGTAAATGTAAGCTTTCTTGGATTTGGGCAAGTAATATGAACATATCGCTACTGGATTATCAGGGAAGCCTTTGCAACAAACAAAAACTAGAGATTTTCTGTGCACTAAATCATTGCTTTAGCAAAATCTGTGACAGTTTCAAAAGTCTAAAACTACCCACAATCCCTTTTGCTTTGGAGTTCACTAAGTCATCCATTGCTATTTCCATTGTTCTTTCAAAAATGACAACCATTTCTACCCCTTTCTCCAAAAGTCAAAAAGAAATCACAAAATATACGCTTTCAAATAAAGAGAGCGGCTAAAACTTACCACTTTCATCGGCAACGCTGAAAATGCCTTGACTGTTGCCAGACAAAATGGAATAAGTTACTCTGCCAAATGTTCCCGAGTCTTGATCCTGGGCAGAAACTGTCGTGATTACAGTACCCTCAGGACTGCTCTCATCAACGTCAACTGAAAGAAAAAAAATGGTGGACGGGAAGGTGATAGCCAGATGAAGAGCCATCGATGAAACATACGGAATATAGCAGGTTTTTGACAGTGAGAATAGTACACTGTGACTTTCTAGGGCTTCAGTAGCTTCCAAGGCAACAGCTCCCTCTCACATGGCCATGATTATGTGACTATTTCTCTTGACTGTATACACAGTGTTAAAAAATAGCAAAACCAAATGATTATTAAAACATGGAAAAATCTACTCATGGGGGAGCACGAAATTCCCACAATCCTGAAAAAAATCCTCCAATCATGAGGAATCACACCTCTGAATTTAACAGATCTGAATGATTTACATATGTTTTATTATTGTAGGTGTGCAGCTGCACAACTGAATTGCCCGCAGACAAGTAATGTGGGTAGTACATGCATATAAAAAGGAAAACAGGAAGTGATATGAGACAAATCAATCAATTATGCAATATGACGGTGCTTAAAAAAGATCTTGAGTTGTCACTCATGGATGTGCATGAGAATCAAATGACCATGCAGACCAGGTTCTGCTGGAAATAATGTTATTCCACAAACTTCTAAGTGGATGCACATTCCAAACAACTAGTTTCATAAGATCTGACCAAAAGAGTGAATGTGCACTTTATGAAGGCATGAAGACGTACAAGCAATAATTGTAATATTTTGGACTGCACAATGTTTTGAATGTTCGCTCAACTTTTATTAGCATCAACAGTTTATGCATCGACATTATGTGCAGTTCAGACACTGCACTGCATCCTCACCTGCATAAGTTGATGGATAAAACACCGGTCTGTTATCGTTGACATCTAGTAATGTTATCTTCACTAGGGCTATACTGCTCAAACCCCCACCGTCTGTTGCCTGTACTGGAAACTCCAGCGATGTCCTGCCCGCATCCCGATCAAGCTGAGTAGCTGTGCAGATGTAACCATCGTCACTTTGGATGTAGAATTCCGGCGGTGGTTGGGAACCGTAACCCAGGCTGAGGGAGTAGGTAACGAGGCCAAAGTTGCCTGAATCGGGGTCTTCAGCTTGGACCTGAGTCAAAAGAAGATAAATGAACAGGGATTTGTAAGATTCAGTCCAGTCAAGCATCGGACACCAGTAACCACTCCTTATGCATCACCTGAATGCAACAAGATCAAACACCAGCACTGTGTAGAAAACTGATGAATTAAAGTATAATGTACATACATGTAAAAACCACATTATTACAGGATGTGAAGCCTCCTGAAACCGGTTGAGGGCAGAACATTTGTGAGACACTGTTGCTTGCAAAAGAACTCATGTAAAATGTACATGTACTGGTAGTGCAATGGGTGGTACCAATGGCTATACAACATGTCAACATACACATGTGCATGTATCTCTTAGAGACACTGGTTGTTGTCAATTATACATGCAGCCAATTTTAGAGACTAAAAAAGGTTGTCCACCGGGAAGTTTGAACTTTTACTCACTCCTCATGCCCTTCCCCACTGGAGTCAACAAATTCTGACTGTTACATTTTGTACTGAATTTCTCTCAACTGAAGTCCAACAAAAGAACCAAGTTCATTTTCCCATCCATGACACTCTTCACTTTTAAGTTTTCCCAATGCCTGCATGTGCTTTCCACAGGTGGGAAGCCCTTTTTGTCAAACAGTTTTACGGTTGAACCTCCGAAAGCGCAACTAACCACCGAGATTACCCATTCCCAGAAAGTCTGCAAGGTGCTGTGAACATACCTATGTACAAATGCCTTTTGTTGGTTACAACACGCTGGTTTCCTATTCAACATGTTGGCCACACACTGTAAAATGTTATGTAAGAATACCCAAGCCACAATAAACACTTTCTATTGTTAATTTATTGATCGATCCTTACTGTCCACTGTCAGAATCAGTTTCCAGGACAAGGATCACATGGTCTATGCTACTTTACACTGCATGTACAGTACATGTACATGCATTCAGATATACATGTATATGTATTTTAATGTTTTCTCCACTGGTTCATATTGGTACAGTATGTATCACTTCTTTTTTTTATTCAGTATTAGAAACCCCCGTTAACAAAAAGTACAATTTCATTACTTTTACATGCTCCTTTCACTGTATGCCCATAGCTGAGCCTTCCATTGGGAATTCATGTAGAAAATTTTATTCCCCTCACATAAAATGCAAAAGGTTTACTATTACTAGTCTTTAACCCTAAGGGAATAATGAAAGATTTTTGAATGGAATTTTCTGAGCACACGAAAGCTAGTCACTACTATTGTAGGAACTTAGTGATTTAGCAATAACATGTTGTATACTGTACCTGTGTACATTGTACATGTGCACTATATGTGTACTGTACATGTGTACATACACAGCTCACTTGTTCACGTCCTGCATACGAAAAAATCCATCTTGATCACTTTTAAATTCTCCCAACTATACCTGGAATGCAGCCATACAACCATTGACTACTGATCTAGCAACAGTGGCCCTGGCATGAGTAATGTGTTGATACATGGCTAACTGCCACAGAAAGACCGGCAACACAAATAACTGGGCCATTAATTTGGCAAATTTAGATCCTTCAAACCCATCTCAACAACCACAAGGCAGATTTTCAGCCATTTGGGCTGGGGTGGTATTGAGGGTTGCTTGGAGTACAAGCACAAATTTCTGAAACACAAATGTGCATGTCGAGGGCACAGAGTACAACGCACCTGCACTGTACAGCGCAAGTAGGTTAAGAACTACAAAACAAAATGTTGAACTATTCCTACATGAATGTCCAGTTGTACCAAATATTGTTTATGAGCTCACTTTAACAAAAAGTTTAATGAAACCTCTGTTATAAGGGTCTTACATTTTATAAATGGTGCACTCATAGTGTGAAAACTTAGAGAGAAATAAGCAAACAGAAATCAATAGAATGAACGATGACAGACATCCCCTACAAAATAAAAGGACAACAAAACAATCCACTAAACATCATTAAAAATTAAAGTATATTTATAGGAATATTAAGAGCAAAGTAGAACTGTGAAAATACTTCAATGCAGGGTCCAAATTGCTTTCAAGGAAATGGCTAGGTTGGGGTCCTATAATATCTCAGCTCTAACAAAGACCAAGGCACGTAGGTATTCATGGTGTGTGGAATTACCACAGAAATTGCTAAAAGGCACAACCTAGTGGACTGAAGAAAAACATAACCCTACTCACATGTAGTGGAGTCCATTCTTTACCCTTGCACAACAATCCCGGTAAAACCCAGCCTTTCAACAAAAAAGGTCTTGCCTTGAAGATTAAGCAAAACCACCTGGCTATGAAAGCTGGCCATTTTTTAAAAAATCTTCACTATTATTAATAACTCGGGGGTTCACCGCCAGAACGACAAAAGAATGAAAATAAAAGGGTGGCTGATTAACACCTAGGGATATTATGATAAGCAGGGATTGGATGCCCTGTACTGGATAAAGAACCACCACCACAAGTTCAATAGTTCGTATTCCACAGGGAGCGCGGAAATACCACCAATAAGTGCACTGAATAGGCCAATGACTTGCGGTAGACGAGGGTTTTTGTTTTGTTCATACACCGACATATTACAGGTTTTTTCTTTGTCAACAAGAAGTAAAAACAGCTCACTGATTGCATGACATGTATATCAGGGCACAGGGACCTAGATTTCTCCCTACATGCTACTAAAGTTGTTGAGCAGAGTCTCCTCTGCCAGTCCAGAATCATTGCAAACTCTTGTTCTTTTCCAAAGTTGATGGCCATGCCTTCATTTTCATATCCTCTGTATTATCAGTGAGATAGCAACAAATTGGCCTGTGCAACAACCATTCCCCTCTGCACTGTTCTCGTCACGAACTACAAGCCCAGTAGTTAACAAAACAGCAAGTAGCATAGCTTTTGGTATTATTGAGAACCAAAGTGATACTCTGTGTATCATGCTTTTTGATTAATGGCTTGTTTGGGAATACCACAAAGTGAATAATTAACATGGTATCGTGCACGAGGTACCATCAGTTGTATACAGAAATGCTTTGTGGTTGTCTGGAAACCTTTAAAGGGTGAGGCAAAAGCATACATGAACTTTTCAAGTGCATTTTACCTGTTTGCATACAACCATGGATTGTGTAATTTATACAACGACTTGCCATTGGTTCACCTGGACTCGGTATCAATTCAAATGGGTAAAATATGGAGTTATTGTAAAGATTAGTTTTTTGGTGCAATTTATCAAACACACAAACAAAAATCAAACCAAAAACTGATAAAAATTCCTAACTCTCTGAGTCTAAAGCTATGGATAAATTCTGCAAAGCTTAGTTGATCAATATGAGCGGTGAACAAAAAGATTCATTCTGTTAAATTCAAGTTGGTATATTCACATAAACAGCAATGCATTCCGGAAAAACTTGCCGGAAAGTTAGAAATACTGCCCCCAGTCTACGCTTGCCCTGTGTTTGCTTTACACAAATTCCTAACCTTACACAAAGACTGAAATCACGCCTATGGCAATTCATGATTCTCTTACATTCTCTCCCTGGGAGTGAGCTGCTTATTGCTGCTTTTTACTTCTGTCTGCAATCTCCAAGATTGAAAATAAAAATGTACACGTACAACTTGCCCGGGGAAATCATTATGTTTGAACACTGGCCAATTGACTAATCAGTTTATGCATGACTGATAACTGAGGTGAATTTGGGCACAAACAGGTGTAGGACTCATGTCACTTACATGTAGATTTCAAATTAGCCTTTTGAAATGAACATAAATAGAGTACTGCTTGCAAAACGTGTTAACATTCGTATTGTACAATAATATGCCGGGAACGCTTACTATTTTCAGAGCACTGAATTTAGCCTGAGGTTCAACCAACAAACTCAAGAAAAAAATAAGCACATTAACTGAGGAAAAAGAGTTCAATTTGTATAAGGGAAAAAAGGGCTGCAAAAACCTTGGCAGGGTTGTCATTGAGGAAAGAGCCACAGACCTTCACAAAATTCCAGATATTAGGCATGTACATGTACCTAACCAAACCGGACACGAAAGTTATTCCAATTTTCTATTCTTGTCACTTGGAGTGGAATGTTACCTCAGTCAAAAAAGGCCAACCTCAAACTGTCTTGATGAACATAAACAGGCTTGATGTGGTGTGAGAGCACTGTAACTGCATCTTGCTCATTTTCACAATAAACACCTGCTCATTGGCAAAATGGTCTGGCTTTAGAAATGTCCCTTACACTTGGCATCCAATGGAAATTAGCAAATGGTCTGCCTATACTTAAAAGCAAACCTCTTTCCTCTGCATGAAGACTGTCTATTCCTTCAGCTTCAAATATTTCTTACATGCACATACAATGGAAACCAAGATGCTTTGTAGTGAAATATAGTTTTCAACTTCAAACATACTGCATGTATCAAGGTGACAAGTCACAACCAGTAATTTTCATTTTAGAATTCCCCATTGACTAGCCTATGGAGGAATAAAAACCTCCATGACTAGACCTTGATTTTTAAAACCCTTTCCTCAACCACTTCCAGCACCTGATAATGAACAGTGAATACAGACTCCTTCAAGAAGCAAATGATAACAAGAGCTGATCTATCCTAATTTCAGATTTACCCTGGGGGAAAGACCATCTGAAACCACTACTGTCACTTTTTACCACGACTTCCAAGGATTCTATTTCACTACGACCTCTGACCCCTTAGGCATTTTTTCAGGACAAGGTCTGTTTAATATCACAGGAATGCCAATGACACTGCTTCTTAGCCAAGGTACATTGCACATGTACTGTACTCAGCCAAGGTGCACTAGCAAATAACCATTACTGATACCTTGAGAGCTGAGAGTCTCACCAGCCTGGGCCTAAAGGGCAGACCTAATCTGTCAAGTTGTCTGACCTCTGGTGATTTGTGTTGTCATTTTGTTTTTTCAAATCCAAGAAGTGTGTGGAAGGTCTGTGGCAACTGTACATGCATGTACATAATATACATGTACATGTACATAGCTCCGTGGGAAGATATAGTCATTATAGATCTTTTTGGA